CAGGGGGCCGGACCAAATGCGGAGGCGGGCCGGATCCGGCCCGCGGGCCGTAGTTTGGGGACCACTGCTATATAGTATGTGTTGAAGCTGTTGGGGGAGAGATGGCCTTTCTCTTCCTCCGCGTGTTCGTTAATTTCGAACTGGTACACACTTCGAAGCAAATTTAAATGTTATACATGCCACACAGGAAGGTTCAAGTTGTGCAATTTATTAAATGCCACATGCAGAGTGCTACTCTAAGTGGGCAATTACACTTCTATCATAGTATAGATATACACACACACACACACACACACACACACTGATCACAAATACAGATCACTTATTTTCACACTCTCTTGTGCATACGTTAGGCATTGAAAATGACGTGTGTGTGTGTGTGTGTGTGTGTGTGTTATATAATAGAATACAGCTCAATCACACAAACATTCAAAATCTTTGAATAATGAAAGTATTAATAATCCCTCATAAGCAACACAACAGCAAAAGAAGTAATCAAATACATATTTTTGTTGTCTCCTATTAAATTCCATTTACAAAGAAATATAGAAAATGTTGCTGGCCTAGCTAGAAAGAAAAAAAATAATTCGAGTCTGCAATCATCACAGGAACACATTTTTCTCACCCTCTCATTCACATGCGTGCGCACACACACACACACACACACAAACACACACACACAAACACACGCACACACACCCCCAAACACAATCGTGCGCACGCTACCCAACGCCCCCACACTCACAAACACACAGATTTTATACCGACTGCATGGCATGCAGTGTAGAACACCTTTGGTCCCTTTCTATTGCCGTTTGATTTTTTTTTTTTGTTTGTTTGTTTTACGAATGATTATCCAGATCTTGGAGAGTAAAAAGAGTCTCGGTCATGTTAAAGTTTTGGTGTGTTGGTAAAAGTACAGTCACCTCAGTACACGTGGCAATCACGGACTCATGGAGGGTGTATTTTTAGAGCTAACAACAGTGACTGTGGGCCACATGGAAAACCTCCCCAAATTTTCAGTTAATTAAGTGAAGGATAATACGGTATCACCAAACACTGTTAAATGTGAGGAGAAAAGCAAATTCTGCCACGTCGTTGACCCCTTCCCACGTGCGTGCCCATTGTCCGCAAGGGGGTCCGATGAGGCGGATGTCAGGCAGCCAGTGGCGTTAAGACTCAGTGGCGAGGGGAGAGACTGGATTGAGGTGAGCCGGATGGACCTTGGTACCGCTGCTTGGCGTGTTTCTCACAGTACATCACGTCGCCTACCCAGAAGTGACCCCTCATCCGGAGGTTCAGGCCGCAGTCCGTGCAGGTGTAGCACTCGGGGTGGCGGAAGCGGTCGTCCACGATGCGCACGGCCTGTGTGCTGTGAGTGGGAAGATGAGGGGAGGAGTCAGGACTATGTTGGATGCCATCTTCATATTTTAGGCATTTTCACCTCATCTAATGATGATGACAATAAATATGTTTTTGTTGTCATTCATGAGCTTCAGAGAGTCACTGTGTGGCCTTAAATAAAACCTACGATTCTTTTCACAATTATAGTTATACTGTAGTTGATTATAATTCACTTTGAAGGGGAAAAAAACAAATATGACAATTTGGACTCCTCCTGATACCAAACCAGCATAAAACGGCATTAACATCCACAGAGATCCAGCAAAAACAAATTTTTATTCACAGATATAAAAATAAGTGCTACCTCTTGGAAAATTGTCAATAATTTAACAGAAAATGAGCCACTAAACTGCAGTAATAATGATGGTACTCTCTCCAGCTTCCCTGTCGTCTTCTCTCATTTAGACTTGGTGAGGAAAGGCGACCTTCGGAAAATATTTGTGCAGGCCAACGTGAGTATAAATCCTGACTTTTTCAACTTACAGTATAAATTGGTACCACATCTTTGGCAATGTTCTGCACAAATGACGCTGTGATTACCTTCCTACGTGACCCTCGACGTATGGGAGGTAAAATGTGAAAAAGATTGCATTGACAGTTGTCAACTGCTGCTTCGTGGAAATTAAATACGTCAACCACTTTTGTTTTGCAAAACAGCCAATAGAGAGGTTGGAATGATGGCCAAGATGGGGATTCTGACTGCTTTTGTAAACTCCTCGTTTGCATAATTGTTGTTGGCGCAAGCAGTTCATGTCTGAGGACACGGCTTGAACTACAGAGGCCGAAAATAAAACACAAGAAAATTGTCCTGCGCAATAAATCTCATCAATAAAATTGATTGATAACCCAACCCTTGGTCAAAATATTTAACGATGGCTCTCTTTACAATTATGTCGGTACGTTTGCAGGTTTGACTTTCAAAACTGCGGTTGCACTTCTTAGTCTTTCAATAAACTTGACAAAAGTGAAAAGGTGACCTTACACAATGCTGGTGCCACATTTCTCACAGGTGTGGTATTTGCTGACTCCTCCCACCGGTGTGCTTGCTTTCGGAACGTTGGGTGACAACTTTCCCGGGAACTTCAATGCTGCCTCTGGAATGACACACGTACATATGCACGCACATGCACACACAGTAAGAGGTGGCAATGCTGACCGTGTTCAGTTATGCCTTCACTACCACTGAAAGCTCGTTTGCGTCTTTCACTTGGAACTGCACACTTGGGTTTTACTGGGCACTTTCATGTTATTCGTTGTGAATTGCTTTACCTCCCACAAGCATCCCACCATCTGCTGCTCACAAATGAAATTACACTTAGTCTTCTCATAGCACAGATCCTTGGCGTCCATGTGGACGCATAAGTTGCATGATACATTTGGGAGCGGGATTTTCCCCCCCAGTCCAAACGACAAGATGCCAACAGGAAGGTTTTAACAAGTGATGTAAATCTTGCAGTATTTGACAAAGCATCTGAAGCGCTTCCAGACTGCACTGATGCAAACCCTGCACGCCATCAGACCCGCGCTCGCTCCTGCGTGTCAACCTACACAAGCAGAGGAATTGCTTTCGGTTCAGCTTTTGAACATGAAGTTTAAACTGTCCACTCATTTTCATCATGATTGCGTGAACCATTTCATACAAGCTTTGGATTTAAAAGCAAGGTGTGTGTCTGTGTATTTTATATACATATATATAATTTTTTGGGTACTGCCTACTAATGGGCATATTTGTTTTGTCAGGCTGTGTTGTCCCAACCTTTCTCGTCAGCCTCCAGAACTTCTTGCAGCATTTTGAAGGTGTTGGACTGACGAGGCGCTGCGCGAGTCTCCTTATTCTCCTGGATCATTTTGTACACCTCTGAGTCCTTGTCAAACCTCTGCATGACCGGTTCCGAGCTTGAACTGTCAAAAGAAAAAAAAAAGAAAAAATTAGAATACAAAGAGTCACATCTACCATGAATATATTAAAGCATTGCAAGATAAGCTTGTTCAAATGTATTTTGAGTGAGCATTATGTAAATGGTATGCACAGGAAGTGAAGAAACGGGCAACAGCTGGCTTTGGAACTTTGACCTCTACGCACCCAGTCTGAAGTGCACACAACAGGCTTGAGACGACATCATATTTAACACTGCTGGAACTCAAACATGCTCCGAGGCTAACAAAGTGGGAGGTCCCCCATGCGTGCTCTTACAAGTTATTCCAACACCTCTCCGCGGTTACTTGCGGCCAGTCAGGGCACAGCAGGGGTGTGAGTGAGTAAGCTTTCCATCAGGGGATAGTACAACATGGCAGCTAATTAAGACCAAGCCAAGAAAACAGTAGCGCCGTTTACAAGCACATTCTTCGTTTGCCGGTGCGGTGGAAAAACACATTTACTGGCACACTTGATGTGAAAGCGCCGTCATCGCCCTCTAAAGCAACATCAATTGAAATCTCAACTGAAAGACAAGTTATGTGCGGAGAGCGAGCTGGCGAGCGGCGGCGGCTGTCGCTGGGAACTGGGTACACCAGTCGAGCCAGGTGTGCGATTATAATGACACACGCACAGGTACACGCACACACACACTGCGGGCCAAGTGACAGCCAAGTCAGCCTGATAACTGTCCCACCCATCATCACATGACACTGCCAAGACGTTGACGATTGTAACTTGCATTTTCTCTACGGTATGTGATATGAACAGTGGATCCCGTAAATAAGTAGAAGCGCTTGTTTTATCCACTTGTTTGGGACCTCTGATACAAAGATGAGGACGAAAGAATAGAATTGAATAAAACCGAAATAGTCGTGGCTGCATTTGTCTAGACCACAAATAGCAGTGAGGTGAGGCATGGTTCACGAAAGTCACCATGGCATTCACCGCATGGTGCCGGCGAGTTCATTACACAATGTAAATGTCAGAGTCAGGACTTTCACCACTCTGAGATGGCTTCTTATAAAGACGGAGGAAAGCCTGATTCTCAAAGGAATGACGGTCCAAGGTGAATCACTTCCCACAACGAAGTCTGAATGGACAAGGTCAGACATCACATAGTGTGGGTGTGGGTGTGTGTGCGCACGCACGCATATTGTGTCTACAAGATGGATGTGGCTGCAACAAGAGATGGCAAATGGACAAGACAACAAAAATACGGTCAAAGCAAAAAAGCTCAGACGCTTTCCTCTGTAGCCTTGAATGTGGCTCAAATTAAAAACAGACCGTGAAAGCCCAAACTCCAAGTTCTCCACACCCTCAGCAAATTTCCTTTCCTGCGCCGGTCACCATCCCTTCTGACATGCAATCTCAGAGCAAATGGAAAGTACTGGTCGACTGGGAGCGAAGCAAAGAAGAGCAGCTCGGGTCTCAGCAAGAAGCAGGAGACGGCAGGAATGTATCAAAGACATCGTTTGGACAAAATGTCAGCGATTGAAATGTTTCCGATATTTCTTGTCAAGTTTGAGGTCAGCGTGCTTTCATGCACTGATCCTGCACAGACAACCTCACATCACACTTGGGCTGTGCTGATAAAATATGTAAATGAGCTCTTTCAATGCAGTAACATCTCTTAAAGCAGCTTCCCCCAACTACTACGTTTAAGTGTGAACATCTCCATAAACCAAATACCAAACGTGAAATGGTAGCACTCACCTTGGAGAGAGCAAAGTTACACCGCAATGACAGCTCTTCCTAAAAACTTAACAATTAACATGCATTGAAAAAAGAAAACAAAAACATTGCAGCACACACAAGCAGATGCTTAGCAGACACCTACAGTATGTAAAGCAGACTCGACTGAAAAACAAGAGGTTGCCTGAAAGGTGTGTCCCCAGTCTGCAACTGATTGGCCGCGATGAATAAATGGGTGGGTCAAAGGGTGTCACGCTGGTTGTGATTGGCTGAGGAGAAGCAGAGAGGGGCTTGCTGTACAGGCTGGGGGCTTCAAACTGGAGGCCAATTAGGGGAGGAGGGGAAATCGGCCTTTTGGGGAACATTGGGTGTTTGCATATGACTGCATTTGCTGACACAGCAACTGCGGTTATCCAACTAAGGCCAAAGTCCATCCTTCTCCAATGCGGAAAGAAAGAGGAGAAACAATGGACACAAAGGATTGCAGGTCTGACGAAGTTTTTCCCAAAGCTGTATCTCCCCCCTCCCCCGCCCCCCACTCCCCCAACAAAACACGTGGTTAATCAAGACAAGCATGTACAGTAGGTGGGCCTTTCACTTGAGCCTTTTCCAAGGACTGAGTATGTGTTTGCTGCTGCAATGAGCTCCACAAGCATACGCACTCAGACAGCTGCACCAATTGTACACTAAATGGAGACAGTTTCAACACAGGCCTTTGAATCAAGGGAACAATCTACAACGATACAAAAGGAATGTCTGTGGATCTGGTTTCAACCCAGAGGAATTCTGGATATGGGAAACACTTAAAAATCTACTGTGAGCTTGCAGAATTCAGACCTGAAAGAGCTTAGCTCTGGTTTGAGCAAGAGAGTAATGTTAGTTTGACACCAGCCGTTGAGCAAGCAAATGGGAAGCTGCAAAAAGCGCTCCAACTACAGAGCCTGTACCTCATGAATGTTGACTTGACTATATATATATATATACACACACACACACACACACACACACACACACACACACACACATTGTCTATATTGCTATAGTATCTATACTGTATTTTTTCATATTGGCCCGAATATAAGACGGTGTTTTTTGGCGAATGACAAGGACGCTGCAGAGACACACGTCTAGCTACACACATCTTAGCCAATGGGATGCAAGGAAGATAGCTAGTTAATAGCCAATGGCAGAGCAGCTATAAGTATGTTGCGTTCAGGAAACTCGGAGCTGCGAATAGCAGCCCGTACTGCATTTTAGCTTCCGTACGTTGAAATTTATTTCGTAACAAGAGGCAATATTTTCCTGTTGAGGCGTTTCGTAACTTGAAAATTTCGTATGAAGAGACATTCGTAAGTAAGAGGTACCACTGTACCTTTGGGCTGTGAAAAAAGTGTACTGGTATTTTCATTCCAATATGATATGTAAGGTCTAATGTTACAAATGTACATAAAATAAAGCGGTGGTTTTGAAATAATTCCTCCACAGAAGGAAAGATTATTGGGTATATGTTCCATACGCATTTTTGGTGTGGAAGTAAATCAGATTTCCGGGTTACTTCCTTGTTTATATGCTCAGAGCTTTGCATAGTTTCAAAAAGCACTGATAAAAACAATTTTGGTCACTCACCGTCAATCACAGAGCATCGCAATTGCCGCTTGCTTCATTTGATAGCTGTTATCATATATCTGTTGCTGCCGCGGCCGGTTGACATAATTTGGCAGCAGTTTTAGCGTTTTAGATTACAAGGCAGCATAAATGCTTATCCGCGAATGTGTTATTATAATTGTGTGTGCAAGGTATACTATTTCTAATTACATCCAGTCTATTATAACTCCTTAGACTAAGTAACTGCTTCCTTACAGTATCGGTCGTCAGCATGTGCAGCGGAGAAAGGTAGGTACTGTATTTCTGGTTTCATGTATTCCAGAGAACTTTGAAAAAAAAATAATTATACCGTTAATAAAATACAAATTAGTACGTGCCTAGCACTTATATTTTTGAGCATTGACACAATCAACAGCACATTGTAACTTGAAATCATTGCTAAATCAACCTTGCGGCCGAGCAGGGGCTGACGAAATTGGGTCACTGCTGATTCCCAGTCCCCAAAGCTTAACTGTAGTATCAGCTTTCCACCAGTTGGGGGTGCTAATGGGCTGTGAAACGTTAGCTGGGAGTTTGAATACAGTTCATAGTCTGATGTAAACCGAAAACGTCTGGGTGGAAAAAGTGTTTAACCGTGTCCTTCGAGGAGTTCTGCGTGTGCGTGTGCGTGTGTGTGTGTGTGTGTGGTGATGGGGGGTTGGGGGGGGGGGGGGGGGGGGTCAGTGCTTCGGGAGTACTGAACCCCTTCATATAGGCTGTCCAATTCCTGCAGGACCGATGTCAGAGTTTGGTCTACATTGCCGACAGTATGTTGGATTAGTTTCCAGTGAAGGATGGACTCCGCCAGGGTGGCCCTTTGTCACCAATTCTGTTCATAAACTGGACTACATGACTGGCCATGACTGGCTGATTCCATTCAGCGCAAGCCATCAGAGTAAAGTAAGGACAAAAAATGCAGTATGCTTTCATGCAGATGCGCAAGGTACACCGATTCTGTATATATTGTACATAAAATCTACACACATTTTAAAATTAAGAAATAAATAGTTTGGTAAATGAATCGGACTTGGTTAAGGGTCATAAGTGGCTGGCATGATTAAAAAAGTGTGGGGGACCCATGTACTCATGGATGAAATAATGGAAGCTTGGGGAACAAATTTTCACAAGTGCACACACCACTCGGCGGGTGTATTCATCACTCTCCCCCCCCTTCAAAATTTGGGATATTGAGATCATACAGCTAGTGATTTAGAAATGTCTTGAGAGGGTTGATTATTTCTTTTTTTTGCATTACACAGCAAAAAACTGGTCCAATGTATGTAGTGTTTACCTGTGATGAGGAGACATGTCGTGATCAAGGGCACGATGAGGTGAGTAGTGTCCTGGTGGGGTCGGGGTTCTGCTGGAGAAAGAACTGTTTCTGTAGTCTGAAGGAGAGAAGTCCTGTCAAGGAAGGGCAAGAAAGCAGTCGAGTGTTAGAAAGCACCTTTAAAAAAAAAAAAAAAGGCTTGCATGGACAAAGCCACAGTTATCAGTGACATAGAGCTTCTGGGCAACCATAATGTTTATAAGGGGAATAAACACTTCATTAATTCAGACAAAACAAAACCATTACAGAATTAGCAAAACACCTTGACAATCTTAGTCAGCCACTATCACTGGTGCCCTTTGATTGGAAACACATTCCTGGAAATTTTTAATCCAAGCTCAAACATTGACAGCAACTTAGTTCAGCATTCGTTTTATTTTGATTGTCCTGCATATTACTTTTGTACTTCAGTCGCATCGGCGTTACAGTCGTGTGGCAAAATAAAATGTGAGGCACCGACTGACTTTGGACGATTTGTAAAGGCATCTTAAATTTAATAGGGCCCCAGTAGATACAGTGTTCACAATTAGTTGCAATACTGATGAACATTGTCCACTTTCACACAAGTACACTCTACGAATCACGTTAAGAATATTTTGTCCTATATATAATTTGGACAGAAGAGGGCGCCACATATCCAGTAGGGTCAAAAGACAATTAAAAAAAGCTGAGCTGCGTTTATTTTATTTTTTTATTATAGCTGTTTAAAAAAAAAAGCACCGACAGCGGGACAACGTGAGCAAAGGTTGACATATTTAGCTGTAATTATGTCATAAGAATTCATGACCGCGCTGACAGTCAGCATAACCTGCACTATAAATTTGCACCGGACACAACAAACAAATTGTCAACCACAAAATCTATTGGCCTTGTTTGTCTATCATTCGTCCACTGGAGTCATATTTTGACTTTATGCCATTTATACTCTTAAAGCAGTTTCCAGATCCTGTGGCCATACAAAGCTTCCATGCAAACCGGGAATGGAATGCAAATTAAAAAAAAAAAAAAAAAACTGACAAGTGCAGCGACCACATGAATACATATTGTAAATGTCTGTCAACTTTTAACAGCTGACATGTTAAAAAAGGGTCGTTGGAGGGTAGTGATTTTACCTTGTAGGCTCAAGTTTCATTTTTGGCATGAATTTAAGACCGTGATGAGATGAAGATCAGTATGTTCAATGCCACAACCCGCTTTCTATCCAACAACTCTTTCAACAATGTTTCTGTTCTCAATTGAGTGCAATTTTCTCTTCATTTTCCCTTCTGCAAAAGGGCAGATCGGTGGTGCGTGCTATGAAGAACGATCACAGGCCTATCCCTAAGATTCTTCCCAGGATAATCCCAACAAAATCACTCCAGGTTCATAAAAACACTTCTTCCATATGAAAAGAGTACAATAAGGTACAGGCACCCATGTCCTCTCCTGCTGTGAGCCCATCTGAAGGGCATATACCTGACAAACATGCATGCTTTTAGGCATCCCTTCAGGAAGACTCACTGAAAACACTGTGTCACAGACGAATCCTCACTAATGCAAACCAATCGTCCGTTATGCAACTGTCTGGCTCCTTAGTATGAAACTTCTTGCTCTCTAAAAGCAGTTTTTTTCCCCCTCAGTGAAAATCCCAACAGTGATCTATGAGACTCAAGAGGAATGCGGCTCAGTAAAGAAAAACAAAAAGGAGGGAAAAACAAAACAAACCAATGGCCTCTGAAGGCTTTAATTGCAGTAAACAGAGTACAGCTGGTAAGTACTTTAGATGAGACACACAAAACTGACTGGGAAGAGAACAAAAAATAAAATAAAATAATCACTGCTTGGTCCATTGTGTGCAGCTATTAAATTTGCATGATTTCAGACCTACATTGCAACATGCCACAATCTGTCAGTCCATCATCAATTATTACAAATATCAATAAAATGGTGTGTGTGTGTGTGTGTGTGTGTGTGTGTGTGTTCACGGGCATATGCGTATCGGGCTGCGAGACGATTCTTCTTGATTTCCACTATTGCCTACAGTCATTATGCGAAAAGTTGCCATAATGAACAGAAGTACATTCAGAACGTCTGATGATTATATGCTGCAGAAAATGCTAAGCACACAAGTACGACAGCACACTCAAGCACAGACTTCTCAAAAGAGTGAATTAACCTGGAAAACATTCTGGAGGCCATCCAGCTGTAACATTGCTTATTGCATAAACGGATTTCATTTCAACCTTCATTTGATCAAGGAGGGCAACTTGGGAACACACCCTCTTTCCCAATCATGCCCTGATTACAAATAAAGCAATGATATAAATGAAAGGTGTAAACATAAAAAAAGGGAAATTGTACAGTCAGATTGCATGATAAAATACTTTGAATAAAGCAAACTGAAAACCACTCCACGCCTAACATTTGGGATTCCAAGAGCTGCAATGGTGACAAACTCATTTTTGGTCACGGGCCCAATCATAGTTATGGTTTCCCTCAGCGGGCCCTCAGTGACTTTGAACCCAATGTATGATTCCTCATTATCACATTCGCAACACAATCCAGTTGCTCATCTATTTTGAAAAAGGAAATGTTTAAAACACACACACACACATGCACACGCACACACTTGCAATAGTTCAACAGTATTAAAATGGAAGACGATTTTTATTTTGTTGTTTGAGTAATAAACGTGATTTGCAGGTCCGGGCCACATAAGATGATGCGCCGGATGTGGCGCCCAGGCCCCGAGTTTGACAACAGTGAGTCTAGGGATTGGCATAATTGAAGAATAAAGTAAATTTTATACAAGCTGGAATATTATGATGTAAGGCTTTATAAATAAAGACAAAACAGCATTGTTCTCTTTTTTTGAGCCTAGGATTTCCACGTGACATTTTGGTACAGCTGATGCAATGCATATCTCAATATATTTTAAAGTGGAACGATTCGATGCACTCACATGTTTCAACTCAAAATCTATTTTCCAAGTCAGTTGCAGTGCAATCAGAAAAATAAAGACATAGTTCAATGATTACATATCTGACAATAAAACAAACACAATTGAGCATTCCTTTTGTACAGAAAGGATTTTTCCCAAACACTTGCAGTAGACTTTAATTGGTGTTTTGCAAGAACCCGAAGTTTTTGTTGTGTGTATACGGCTATCTTTCAGCCAAACTCATCTGTAAATCTGGATTTTGGGACTGAATTGGTGAATTTAAATAAAACAATGCAATATAGACATAATACAGTACGGCATCTAATTTAATTTGAGCGCAGTAGAAACGGTTTGTATGCAAAAGCGAACCAAGTCTCTGATTACTGACCAGATCAAGAAACAAAAACAGGAAGTGGCAAACTCAAGTAAGAGCAGCTGTTTCAGATGAAGGCCAATGGATATGCTGGGGATAGTGCCAGTGGAGGGGCCTCCGGTCTTCGGTCTGGCTCCATACAAGCCACGCTGCATCATCATTACCACCCTGCGGATTCAATTACAGGGCATGGGCCAGCACTGCACGGTACAGATGCGAAGGAAGATTTATTCTGGGATAGTTGGCAATGCCAAGAGAAAGTGCAATATGTGTTGATCCACTGTCTCACCACATAAAGTAAAGGATGACCAACAATGAGGTACAGCCAACTTACAAGGCCAAGCAATGGCGTGTTCGTGATACTACTAATGAAAGTGTGAACATACAGTGTTTATTATGCAGCGATTTTCTTTTGTTGGACGTCTTGAACAAAAAGCCTGAGGCTGAATTCAACCCACTGGTCATCCATTGTCACTGATCAATCCTTGTAATTATGTCTTAGCATACCGCATAACTGTGCTCACATTCTGCAATGGAGAGCACAACCTAAGATAACCCAAAAAGCATTGGGTTATGTCACAAGTGATTCCGGTCATTAAAATTCTTTAAAGGTTAACAGTTTCACATCAACTCATTCATACAAGGGTCGAGGGCATACATCTCAAATATGGCCACTATAAATTTTCAAACAAGGCACTTTCGACTTGCAAAACCATTATCATTCATCTGTTAATTATTAGCATCGCATTCTCAGTTGCGCAAGTGTGCCAGGTCTGAACTACGTTCTGCACTAGGGGTGGGTAAAAGTATTGATTCATTAATACATTGCAATACTTCTGGCAGTTCAAATTTCGACTCAGTGACTACTCTGAATCGTAAATCGAATAGAATGGACTCGTTCACATTCGGGGCCTTTTGACAGTTCAATGTCATGGAAAAGCAGCAGTTCAAGAAGATGGTACAGAAATTCAAACCACAATAAGCAATACTAACACGAAAACACATCAGAGGTCGCCATGTCTAAGCGGTAGACAGAGTTGACGACAGCAGATTTGGTGGTGTTGAAGTCGGCAGAAAATAGCTCTTAAATGTGACTTTTGGACTTAAGAGAGTGACTGACTCGTACTACATAACCATGAATTCTCATTTCATTGAGAAGAAAGAAATAAAGAGGACTCTGACTATCCATGGGGGAAAGGAACAGGGCCAGCCCATGAATTGCCCAAAAAAAAAATAATAATCATCATTTTTAAAAACATGCAAATAACGCTCATTATAAATTAATTGAAAATAAATAAATAAAGGTGGCAGCTATCAAATATGAGGGTATTGGAATATACTAAGGTAATCAGATTTAAAAAATAAATCAAATCTTTGTTATAAGTACTGAAGAAGAAAAAAAAAATTCCACTTCATAATGAATGAATAAATAAATAGATTCTTGGCTCCAGCCTACAGTACATAATGCAATACTCATTAACATGGAATAAAGTGATGCCAGTACAAATCCCTTCCTGTCTTGATTTGCTGGCCACACACGATGAAGCTACTCCTGATATAAACCATCTGTAGAAGATTAGAGGCCAAATGAATAGACAACACAGTGATGAGCAATGTGTCACCAAGTTCACAATAGATGTAAAATGCTACAATGCATTTTAAAAAAATAACTTAATAGCAGCATTCTAAAGTAGACCGACAATGCAACGGTATGGTGACAAATACTGCAAGTACTTTTAGACGTCAGATATAAATATTGTCAACATACAGTAGATTTGGTG